GAGACTAACAAATTTATTTGAGCATAAGCTTTCATGAGCTACAGCTCACTAACACGGCTGCTACTCTGAAACTAAAGAAATTAACGACAGAGATAGACCTCTCCTTTTGGGTCTCCCAGTCCATTTTTCTTGTCTCTATTCAGATTGCTAGTTCAGTGGGGCTGTGTTTCTTCTGTGCATGGTGCAGGGCTGATCACTCTGTCAGGGGTTAACAAATAAATAATAACATCTTCAATTCCTCACAGTTAGCAGCAGTAAGTGAGGAGGATATAGAAGCTTTGTTCTTCTTCCAGGAGGGAAATGATGGAGTTCTAAATGTATGTAATGATGTAATGGTGCCCAGATACTATGGGGATGGCCACTTCAGGAGTTCTGAATTTGGTATCAAATTCAATCTCCCATGCAATAGCAACTGGTACTACTTCAGGAATGACAATTTCATTCCAAAGAGACAAGGCGGGTGAGAACATCTTTTATTGGACCAACTTCTGTTGGTGAGAGAGACAAGCTTTTGAGCTTACACAGAAGAAGACCCGAAGAAGAGCTCTGTGTAAGCTCAACGGCTTGTCTCTCTCACCAACAGAAGTTGGTCCAATAAAAGATGTTCTCACCCACCTTGTCTCTCTAATGTTCTGGAACTGATACAGCTGCAGCAACACTAATTTTGTTCCAACACATTCATTATTTCCCAAGATGGCAGCATGACACAGAATTGGCATTTAGGAGATCAGAGAGTTTTATTCCTGGCTCAGTTGCTGAACTCCTTTGTGATCCCAAGCAAGTCACTTCACTTGTGCATGCCTGTTTCCTCATCTGTAAAATAGGAATGATGATACTTGGCTTCCTTTGTAAAGCACTGTGAGATCTATAGATTAAAAGTGCCATTGATGAAAGGATAATGTGAGAGCATGAATTGAACTTGGGAATCCAAATCTGCTAAAAGGTAGTGTCTATAAAATTAGGGTATCTGATCTGCTGGACATATCTGAAAAGATTCCCCTGTTTGTCTCCGTGGAAGAATAGAACATACTGACCTTCTTTTTAATGAAGTCGCTGGAGTGCTTCTGAAGTGCGAGTAAAGCAGTGTAAGTCAAAGATTCTTGTACGGTGAGATAACCTAATAAGATATCATTCTAGAAAAGGAAAAGAACAACAGTATTGTAGTAACTCTGGGCGTGGTTCTGCTTTGACACACATTTCATACCAGCATAGTTCCATTGACTTCTGTAGAGTTACTCCTGATTTACAACAAGATTAGCGAAATCACAGTCAAGCCATATGATTCTATTATTATTATCACTACAACTTTGTAATAACAAAAAGGTCCATGCATATGAATTAAATTAAAAAACAACCTGTTGAACGTATGAGAAGCAGTCCTGAAATTGTTCTTTCTTCAGCTCATGCCCATTCATGTACACATCACCAAAGAAATTTCCTTTTTGTCTCAGTCTTCCTGATATTGCATCCAGCAGAGTTGTTTTTCCAGAGCCTGTTAGACAGTTTACAAAAATTTTCATTCAGATTAATTCTTACTTTTACTATAGCAGCACCTATAGGCCCCAATCAGAGGCCAGGACTCCATTGTTCTAGACACTGTGCACACGTCTAATGAAAAAATAGATATATATTTTATCACTAACAATGGTGTGAAAAAGCACGAATTCCCTTGAAATTCCATGAAAGTTAAATGGAGTGTTAGAGTCTGTGTAAATTTCTATTTATTTCTCATCACTTGTTAAGCACCCTCATTGTGCTTGATGCTATACAAAACATTGAGGACTACAATTCCTGTCCCATTTGTCCCTGTTTACAATCTAAACAGAAAGACAAAACAGATCAGACAAGGATGGAAGACCAGGACTGGTTCTGCCTCAGAGCATCAAGAGCACTTCTTCTTCTAGGAGAATTTTTATAGGAGACTAGTAGGTTTTGTGGGAGAAATAAGTTCTGAGGAGAAATGTAAATGAAGAGATTTCACCTTTGGTTCCAGGGGCAAGAGGGAATTCCAGGAATAAGGGGCAACATGGGAGAACTTATGAAGATGAGAGTGGGAGAAGGCCATGAAGGTAGCAGGGAGACAGGAAGGTTGAACAGAATAGTGAGGAAGAGGAGCAGTAGTAAGAGTCAAGAGCAGCGCTGTAGGTAGGGGCAGGTAGCTTGAACCACATTTGGAATGCAAGAGGAAGATAATGGGGGATTTGAGAGGGCCTAACTCCTGTGCAGCACATGGCCTATGCACCTTTTAAGTATCACTGGAAGCTCAAAAAAGAGTTTAAGTAGGACTTAAGTGATGAATAGGCCCTGTGCTGGTCCTCTGCACAAGGTTAAATTTCATCCAAGATGAAAAAAAGATGAAAAACATTAACCCAGGAAACCATACACATACACAGACCTGAAAAACTCTGGCAAGTTTGGAAGAAACCATATTGTGACACAGAGGCCCTTTGGAAAAAGATCCCCTGTTCTTTGCAAACAACTCATCTCAGGTCTGACAAACTCACTACACCAAACACATCTTGCAGGGTATTTATTTATAATGGGTAATGTAAGGTATCTACAGAAAGCTCGTAAATTATCAAGACTCATAATCATGTGAAATGTATGCATGGGTAATATTGAAGAAATAATATAACTATATTGAAAGGATGCTTTTTTGGTCTTGGATTAAAAGTTAGACACCAGGGGATGATTCATCACAGTGATGGATCATTCAAGCAGAATTGTCAACACTCCCTGGTTAGCTAGTGAGGTAAGGCGAGGCTCAGTTGTCTAGCCTTGCTTCCCAAGACTATCGATGGGACAACTGCAAACAATTGAAACAACTTGGAGGTGAAAAAGGACCATTATAACAGACAGAGGGATCACCCTATCTGTGAATAAAGACAAAAGACTGTTTCACCATAATACAGAGTGGGGGAAAGCACTCTGGATCCATTCACTGAGTAAACATCTTGTGGCGTGGGATGTTTTCATGAAAGTTTGGATCTTGGTTCCTGCAAAGCCAGCCAGCTCTACAACAGATTGAACTTTCAGGGGAAAACCTACTTTATTAGATAGGAAAGATAACTATTAATAAGCATAGGCCCAAGCTTGCGTTTTATGATTTCGTTTCATATTGTGACCATTCATTTCCATCACTATCTTGTTTCTAATTGATTCTTCATTGTTTCTTAAATAAACCTGTGGGGGCAGAGGATCTGGAGTTTCTGTGAGTAGCCAGTTTAGGGGCTGGATATCACAGGGGAATTCTTCAAAATGACTTGGAGACCAGGATGCACCTATTGTTAACATGCAAAGCAAAGACTGGGCTGGCATAGCCTGGAGGAGAGTGCTTGAATGGCTGAAAGGCTGGTGGTGTCAGGGCACTAACTCAAAGTTACCATGGGCAAGACCCTCTCTCACCAGAGGCAGGGAGAAACAAGGTGACTTACTGTCCCTGGTACCCTGAGAACCACCACACATATATTCTACTGAGACTGCGACTGAAAATGCCACCTTTTTAAAGAGTACAGGTTGATGGTGCCTATGTATGCATTGATACAGCTTTTCTTTTTCAGAAAGTCTTGATAGTCTGCAAGGGTTCCATTATTTAAAAATACAAATCTTTTGGCTAGATCCTTGACCCTGCTAAGGTCACTTGTGCAGTGCAAAGTGACCTTAAAGGCACCCTGCATGAGAATCTACAAGTAGTGTAAAGCCAGAATAGCTAGCTCCATACCAGCGTCCCTCTCAGCCCCTTCAGGGTAGGCAGTGGGAGGGGATATTCTGGTGTCAAGGTTGTGGAGACTTAGGGCAGTATGCTTCAGTAATCCTCACCAGTGTAATGCCCCCAAGAAGGCCATTCACTAGAGCCTGTTGACAATAATTGAAAAGTAAATCATTAATCTAAGTAAACCAGTGCTTATCCACATTGTGACCTTATTACAGAAGTGCCCACATTCAGAACAGTCTACGAAATTCATTTGGCATGATTTTTTTTAAAGTAGTATTGTTTTAGATTTGGAAGTTTTGAACTACTTACCAGAATTTCCCAAAATTGCCATAATCTGGCCACTCTCTATGTGAAATGAAACATCTTTGAGGATCTGCCGTGTGTATTTTTTATGATATGATGGGATATCCCACCAAAGTCCAACACGTTCTCTTTAAAAAAAAGAAGGTTGAAAAGGCTGAAATGTGGCATTTGAAAGAATTTAAAATAACATGTAAGAAACATTTCAAAAATTGGGCTTGTGCCCTTTTTTGCCGCTTTGATGTATAAAGAGGATCGGAAAAAAATAATTTCTAAAAGGTTTTTTTTCTGCTTGTTTTTTATCTTAGTAGAACCAGACTTAACCTTCCTGATCTAACCTGGTTTTGGTGGAGGACCAAGGGGAAATATAAGTAATATTTATTGTGAGCTCTTTAATTGTAAGGATGAGGGTGTTAGACCTTTAACAAAACCACTGAAATTAAATAGAAATTAACAAAAAAACAAAGTTTTAAACAGACTTGACTAAAAATCCCTTCCCCTTTTAATAGCTCATTTTGTTCCGTATTGGCTCTGTTGGCGTCCCTAGTTCACGAGCTCTCCAGTCATATCAGAGTCTTCCAGCCAAGACAGAAGCTTAAATGTCTAAAAACAAGCAAAAGAAATGAAACCACAACCCTTTCAGGCTTTCTTTATATATCCTTCGGAGACCTTCTTTAAAGAATCACTTATGAAATCTTCAGAAAGCAGAATCACTCCTTACTCTCAGGAAAATATAGTCTTAATTACAAGACAGAGAGGACCAAATTCATCCTTGGTGTCTCCCTTCACTGGACTAAGACTAAAGTCCATCATCTTCAAACTATATCCCTGTTACTATTATGCTATAAATTAAGGGAAGTCTTATCCCTGTGGTCTGAGGATTAGTGCTATTGCAGAGTCCCAGCTTACATTGCTGATCCTTACTAGCTTTACCTGACTGTGTAGGAGATTCCATGGACGCTGACACTGTTATGTGGAATCACAACAGACATCCTTTCTTCTGCTCTGGAACCCCAGCTGCTCCTTTCCATCTCGGTAGGCTGCATCATCCTCAGGCAGACTGGACACTTTACGTAAATCACCTTCTCAACCAGCTGGTAAGTCCGCTAATTCAAGTAAGTTGCTTGAATCACCAAGTTGCTACCTCATTAATGAAGAGGGTATAGCTTCACTCTGCCAGTAGTCCACAGGATCAGTCATGGACCCAGCCTTATTTCTACACCCAGGAAATTACTTGACAGAAAGCTGAGTAGCTCTCAGTTCACTTTTCCTTTCTTCTCCTTTCCAAGCACAGTTGACAGATTAGCCATAACTATTATCTGATTAACCTTTAGCCTGAGCTGTTACTATCCCAGAAAAGGAGAACATTACCCCATCTACAGAGACATGTAGACCAGAGAGACCCGGAGTGTCAGGAGAAACACCAGCTATATTCATGTAGAGGGGTCTTGGAAGGGGATCAAGCTCAAAACCAAGAGGAGAAGGATTTCCACAGTAAGCACAGTATTTAAAAACAGAAAAGAAAGTGGCAATACGGAGAGAAAGCTCCATCACAAATATGAAAGAAATGACTGAAAAAGTTCCATCGGAGCATGTCATTGGGAGCCAGGATACAGATCTGGATTTGTCGGTGAGTGGAGCTCATACAGAACTGAAGGGGAAACTCCTGCAGACAGTATTTAGCACTAGATATATGAAACAGCAAATTGGATTTGACGTATAGTGTCCTCCATCTGCATGTGAATGTGGAATGAAGGCAATATATAGCCCTTAGAGAAGCAACATGGGCTGGTGGTCAAGGCGCTTGATTGGGACACATGAAATCTGGGTTCTATTCTGGGTTTTGCCACAGACTTCCGGTGCAAACTTGTGTTTTAGTCCTCCCAGCTGTAAAGAAGGGATAATATAACTTCCACACCACACAAAGGAGTGCTGGGAGGATAAATGCATTAACATGCAAAAGGCACTCAGATATCAGTGGTAGGGGCCATATACATACTAAAATTAACTAAATGCATTTGCTGGGGAGTGTTACTATATAGAAAGTGACTTTAATATACTTTTCTGTTATGAGAAGCTGCTGTTTGAAATTGTTTTAGCAATTGTGGGTGGTTTCTGTATTGTTTCTATGAATAGTATGTGCCTTGATTTACGGGCTCAGTTTTGCAGTGCTATCTATCTGGACTCAAAGGGTTAAGTCAGACCTGATCTGAAGTTTGGCTGTATGCAGAAAGTGCAGACAGTTACTTTAGATAAGCCCAATCAACATATTCCAAAGATAATACATGTGTGAATTCCTTTGAAGCTTCACCTCCAACCAATGTCTGGCTCAGAATAGGGATAGATTGGAGGGGAATAAACCAGTCTGTCCAGATCATGGCAAATGAAGGGACGTGGAGAGGATAGTCTTGGGGGAGGTGGGGGAAATCAGGAATAAAGACTGGATGAAGACTGGGCCCATGGCTCAAAGGAAAAAGGAAGATTCTGGAAGAGGACAGGGAGTTAGAAGTAGGAACTGCAGGCATGCAGGTTCTCCCCCACTTAAGGCTGAAGACTGCCTGGGCTAAACAGGACCTGCTTAACTATGTAAGGAGAAGCTAAAAATAAAAATTTCAAAACTTCTTGTGCATTTTTGCTCAGAAATAGGACCAAGGTTGAATGAAATTGGGTCCATTTTCATTTTGAAAGTGGACATGTTTAAGTCCAGACAAAAAACAAACAAGCAAGCAAACAAATGAACAAAAAACTCACCACATATTCCTTTGAATTGCACTTTGAGTTTTTCACACCCCCGTAGTGCAGAGTAATTTTCCAGGTACTAGACAGAGGTAACTCATTTCAACTCTTTACATTTTGTGCTATAGTAACTAAATCAATTGTACTATTATTACACATTGAAAGCATTTCCCTTGCTGCCTCTCATTTTTTAAATGCTGTTTAGAGAGAGAGAAGTGAGTTGTAATTAATTTTCTAATAATTCCTATAGGCAAAGAGGAGATTCAGAGACAGTATTTTTTGCTCTGAAGAGGATAACAATCTGTATTTCACCTACAGTGGCAAATCAAATGTCCTAGAGGTCAGAGAGCTCAACTACCAGGTACAAGGTCTACTTTATCTTGCTAATGTATACAACAATTTCCTGCTTGTAACATTTAGACACTGTAAAAAGTAACGTGAGTTAAATTACATATAGCAACTGGGACCTTATCTTACAGTTGTTGTACACACAAACATCATTGAAGCCGTGGAAGTTTTGGGTACATGGTAAATACAGGATCAGGTCCTTGGCTGCATTTTAAATAGTGGGCTAGAAAGATCCTCAGTTGCAGCTGAGATATACTTCACACCGCTAAGGGGTGGGACAGCCACCTTAGTGTTCTCCTGATCTGGGCAGACTCAAGGCAGCTTGAAGTTACACCTAGATGACCAAAATCCAGGGGGCTACTGTGGCAGCTGGGGATCACCAGCGTGAAGGGTTATGTCTCCTTTCTCTCAGGAACATACCCTACGCTGGACAGAGAGTTGCAAAATACTAAATAGCTGCCGCAGACCTCACAAATCATGCCCGTTGATTTAACAAGAAGAAATTCAGTTTGCAAAGAGTTAATGCTTTGTGTATATTTGGTAAAGGGCAGGGCAGTATTTGCATTTTCAAACAGACAAATACACAGTATCTTTTATTTTAGAGAGACAGACAGATATTTGGTAATCAAACAGTTTGGCAATCAATCAATGATAAGAAAGAATATATGGAAACAATGCATGGTTGGCAAATGGAATTAGCTAAAACATAGTTTTGAGAATTTGCATCAGGTTGGTTGCAGCTATTTTCATGCATTTTCCACTTTGTAATATCTTAATTTTTTAAAAATATGTATTGCTACAGTATTGACTTTCTGAATGGAGGGCTTTTTTTTCTATTTATTTACATTAGGTTAACATGGCATCTCAGATTCCCTGGTATGAGAACCTAGCAGAGATGAAAATGCCTTGGATGTGGAACACAGGCGCAGATTCCCATGTGCCAGCAATCCAGAATCTGAACTTTAAAGTTCAAAGTGGCCAGATGCTAGCTATTATAGGAAGCTCTGGTAGGACTGAAAGCTTTACTGCATTGACCAAGCCTTTACAATAAAATATACAATAGATGACAACAGCACTACTGAATGCCAAAGGATATATAACCATCCAACAGAGAAACACTCCCTAGAAATATATGTTATACATCGCTGCAGTATGCTCATAAAAATATACAGTGGGCCCCCAGCAGAAGACAGTTAGATTTTGTTTGGGAAAGAATTTTTGTCATGATTTGTACATATGCTTGCCACACAGTTTCTTAAAGGATGGTTTTTCATCATTTGATTTTATGGGCCAGATTTCCTGGGTCTGCCTGGAACAATGCAAGGTGCCCGCAGTCCCTGCGCTGCTGGGAGTGAAGGGGCTTTGCACTGGCTGGCCCACCTCCAAAAGTGAGCGATCAACAGCTCTGACCAGAATACATAGCTACCCTGACCTCAGCCAGCGCTGAGCGTGTGCCATGGCAGTACTACCACCTTATGTCCACAGCCTGTCTTACTGCAGAGGTCAGTGGAATTTCCTCCATAATTCACCTGCTTCCTGGAGTTGTCTGGGTCTGAGATTTGCTTTCAAAACAAAGTTGTACCTTGGGAATCCTCCCTGATAAAAGAGCTTTGGATGGAACAATATTATATTGCTGTGTATTTGTTAAGTAGCTTACAGGGAGCACAAACCCCATTCACCTAACTGGTCTTAAACAGTTTAAAAAAAAGTTTATTAACTATTTTATCAAATACTTTAGTGAGGTTGGTCAAAATTTCTGAGGGGTTTCACTTTATTGTTAGTAATCACTGTGTCAGTCACAAGTGGATTGATATATGGTTTGCAAATGGATGGATTTCTTTAAAAAAAACACCTACATAAAAACCCCTCAAATCATCAAGCAGGGAATTAATCTTCTAAAATGAAGAGCAGCAATACATGAAATAATAAAATAATAATAATTAATAATGAAGGAACTGTGGGCATGTTTACAAACTATATCGCACAACATGAGAGAACAAGACATTTGTTATTTCCAAATGTCATTTTGCTTCCATTATTTTAGTCTTGTTCCCCCTAAGTGTGAGCCAATATTGCATTGTTTAAAAACACCATATTTATTCATGTTCACAATTCATTCCACAAAGCAAGCTTATAATACAAATTTAGGCCAAGTCCTGCAATCAGATCCAGTAGTGTGGACCCTATGTCCATGCAGAACACCCTGAGGCCAATGGGACTACTCCTGTGCCTAAAGTTAAGCCTGTGTAAAAGGTGTTTTGCTGGATCAGGGACAGAATTCTCAAGTCACCACACGATCAAGACCATGGTGAGCCAAAAATATCTATAATTACATATGTGGTAAACTTCAGTTCATAACTTTGTTATGGGGGGGGGTAGGGTTGGGTTTTTAAGATTTCAGGCATTTTTGGAATTCAATTAGTGCCATTCCTTATGAGGCAGCAGTCTCGCTGGTAGTTCTCTAGCCCAGTGGCTCTCAACCTTTCCAGACTACTGTACAGTACTGCTTTTAGGAGTCTGATTTGTCTTGCGTACCCCCCAAGTTTCACTTCACCTAAAAACCACTTGCTTATAAAATCAGTCAGAAAAATACAACAGTATCACAGCACACTATTACTGAAAAATTGTTTACTTTTTAATTTTTTCCATATAATTATAAAATTAATCAATTGGAATATTCAGCATATAATATATAGAGCAATATAAACAAGTTTTTGCCCATATGAAATTTTAGTTTGTACTGACTTTTCCAGTGTCTTATGTAGCCTGTTGTAAAACTAGGCAAATATCTAGATGAGTTGATGTACTCTCTGGAAGACTTCTGCGTACCCCCCAGGGGAAAGCATACCCCTGGCTGAGAACCACTGCTCTAGCCTAAGAGCTCACATTATAACTTCTGAAGATGTCCTAAACCTTTGGCTCAAAACAAACAGTCAAACTTGAACTCAGGTCTCCTTCACAGGCTGTTCTCCTTCAGGGGTTCTGAAATAAGCTACAGAGAGGGCTTAGGATGGGGGTGAATATGGAGGCACATGAATGTGGCAAAAACATTTGCCTCATTTTTGTGACCAAATGGAACTGCTCTAGAATTTGACCCAGAGAGATTTTTAACTTTTTAAATTATGATTTTTCTAGCCTGTGGAAAAACATCCTTACTTGATGTGATAACCTGTCGAGATCACGGTGGCAAAATTAAGTCTGGCCAAATCATAATCAATGGACAACCCAGTACTCACCAGCTTGTTAAGAAATGCATTGCACATGTGCGGCAGGATGATCGACTACTACCCAGCCTAACTGTCAAAGAAACCTTATTATTCGTTGCAAAACTGCGGCTCCCGAAGACTTTTTCAGACTCACAAAGGGAAAAAAGGGTAATTAGAGCTGCTGGGGAAAAAATAAAGTTGTAAAAAATGCATTTGACATAATTATCCAAGTATGTTTGGGGTAAGAACAGCTAAATTGAACTGGGCATTTGTTGTGTAAGTCATAAAGTCTAAAGTTTGATTTGTCTATTTTTGCTTATAAATAGGTTTTAATTTTTTTTGCTCCCAGATAGAAGGCTGCAGTTGTTCCAAATGGCAATTTAGGGAAAGCTTTATGGGAGCTAAAATGAGAAATGAATTGCTGAATTTTTAGAAAATGTTGCCTCTGAGAAAGTCAAGGTTTGTTTTAAATGGCTATTGATCAGATAGCACAGTAATATTTGAATGACGATTAAAGACAAACGTAATTTTGGACTGTGCATTATACTTAATGATTAAACAACTAACCCTTGCTTTATCCTGGAACCACCAGGTGGAAGATGTTATAGCAGAACTGCGGTTACGACAGTGTGCAAACACAAGAGTAGGGAATGAATACATCCGAGGTGTGTCGGGGGGAGAAAGGCGAAGGGTAAGCATTGGAGTGCAGCTGCTGTGGAACCCTGGTGAGCATAAAGTCATTCATCTTAATTAAACCACAAAACCAGATGGGGGAGGAGGGGGTTTACATTAGTAAGGGAAATATTCCTTCCCCCCCCCCCCCCGGCTGCAGCAATTGTGCTTATTTACATTAAATACAAGCAAGGAATATTATTTACTTGGACATTAGTGGCTTTATTATGCAGTTTATTGAACTAATCTGCTCCCATTTAAGTCACCATAAGAATTTCTGTTAACTTCAGTGGCATCAGAATCAGAACCTATATCTTGTAATCTCTTTTCCAGTGTTATGTGCCCAGTCTTTCAAACGCCTGTGCACACTAGTAGTCCTGTTGACTTCAGCTGGGCTACTTGTGAGAGTAAAGATTATGTTAGTAACAATCTGTAGGATCAGGGTACTAGATGGTAATCTCAGTGCCTGTGGCTACACTAGGATTTTTCAGATTTGTAAATTACCCCAGGCAGTGAAAACTGCAATGCAGAGAAAACTCAGGCAGGCTCAGTTGTTCTTTACACCTGTTCTTACCAGCCAACATGGTTGTAATAAAGCCTAATCCATGTGTACACTGAAGTTTCTATCAGTACCCTTGCCTTCTTTAGGAAACATGGGTCTGAATATTCCCAGTGTAGATAAGGCTATTTTTTCCACAATTACAGGAAAGGCAAAAAAATGTTTTTCAGCATGTGCTGCTCAGGAAAAGAGGTATGTATTAATGCAAAACATTTTCTGTTTCCAGGAAAAGAAAAATTAAATACAGTTTTTTCCTTTTTAGCACTTCAAACTCTATATTTACTCATAATAAGCTCTTCAGGGCAGGAACCATGGTCCAGATCCTCAAAGGGTTTTAGGTGGGAGCTACATGCCTAAATATCTTTTAGGATCTAGGTCCATGATTTTGTGTGTGCCTGTACAGCACTTGATACTACTTGGGGCCACTCGGTGCTATGGTAATATAAATAGTGAATAATACCAGGTCTCAAAATGTTTGACATTATCTCACTTGAGTTTTCAACAACCAGTTGCAAAGAAACCTTCAGATAGAAAATATTAATGTAGAACTTATTTCTCCTCTCTTCACTTTCATGCTCCTATTTTTTTTTTATTTTATTTTTTATAACTTTGGCTCTCTGGTTTTGAGGCCTTTACACACCCTGACACTGTGTGACTCGATGCAAGTGGTCTGAACACATAGAATATGAGTAGAAGTATTACCCTAAACTCTAACCACACTGAATCTACCTCTCATGTAACATACACTAACTCCTCGTTTAATGTTGTAGTTAAGTTCCTGAAAAATGCAACTTTGAGAGAAATGATATTAAGCGAATCCAATTTCCCCATAAGAATTAATGTAAATAGGGGGGTTAGGTTCCAGGGAAATTTTTTTCACCAAACAAAAGACTATATTATATATATATGTACAGCATAAGTTTTAAACAATTTAATACTGTACACAACAGTGGTGATTGTGAAGCTTGGTTGAGGTGGTGGAGTCAGAGGGTGGAAGAGGGTGGGATATTTCCCAGGGAATGCCTTACTGCTAAAAGATGAACTAGCACTCGGCAGAGCCCTCAAGGGTTAACACGTTGTTAATGTAGCCTCACACTCTACAAGGCAGCACAAATGAAGGGAGGGGAGACAGCATGGCAGACAGAGACACACACCCTGTGTGTGGGAGAGAGAGATGAGCATTGCCCCTTTAAGTATGCTGACCGCACTCTAAGTACACTGCCTTTTTAAGTAGATCAGGAAATTGAGAAAGCAGCTGCAACCAGCAAGCTCCCTCCTTCCTGAGCCCTGTTGTCTGCCCCCCTCCCCCCCGCCCCGCTCAGTGGAGATGGGATAAGCAGGAGCAGGGAGGGGGACACCCTGACATTAGCCCCCGTCTTCCCCACACCCCTGCACAGCAAGCAGGAGGCTCCCGGGAGCAGCTCCAAGGCAGAGGGTAGGAGCAGCACACGGCAGTGGGGGGGGAACACCTGAACTGCCCAGCAATTGATAGCCTGCTGGGCGACTGCTGCACAGGGAACTTAGGGGAGCCGATAGGGGGGCTGCTGGTCCAGGCTGGTTCCAAGCCCCCACCAGCTAGCTCCAATGGGCTGCTCTTCCTGCAAGCGGTGAACAAAGCAGGCGGCTGCCAAACAACATTATAAGGGAGCATTGTGCAACTTTAAACGAGCGTGTTCCCTAATTGACCAGCAACGTAACAACAAAACAACGTTAACCAGGACGACTTTAAGTGACAAGTTATTGTACATGGAAAGATACAGAACTGACTACTGTTACGTTCTTGTTTCTATTATATAAAACTGGAGTTAGGAGAAAAACATTGGAAATTAAAATATGGGGCCTAAATCTACTCCCATTGAAAGTCAATGCCAATTCTTATTGATTTCTGTGGGAGCAGGATTGGGACTACAGAAAATGGTTTGGTAATGTGGAGAAAGAACTTTAGGAAGGGAATTTTCTCCTTGTTAAATAATATTTGATCTTGCTGCTTTAAAAAAAATCTTTAAAAATGTATAAATAAGATTTTACGTACTGGTACCATTTCACATGCAACACAAAATCAAACAATGCTTCCCATCATCGCCTTTTCTCTTTGACAGGAATACTGATACTTGATGAACCCACATCTGGACTAGATAGTTTTACTGCTCACAATCTTGTGATTACACTATCCAGGCTTGCCAGAGGAAACAGATTAGTTCTCCTTTCAGTTCACCAGCCCCGATCAGATATCTTCCAACTCTTCGATTTAGTTCTTCTGATGACCTCTGGAACTACCATCTATTCTGGAACAGCCCGGAGCATGGTCCAATATTTCACAGAAATAGGCTATCCCTGCCCAAAATTCAGCAATCCTGCAGATTTCTATGGTTAGTATCAAATGTGATTAAACAAATACAAATGGGGTGCATGAAATCATTTATTTTCATAAGCTTATGTAATGCACTGATTTTTATTGAATTACATGTGGATACTGTCCGATAGGTGACTTATAAACCAATGCTGTATCAGAGCTTTTGTTATTCTTTGCTGGAGTAACAGTTTAAAAATAAGCAGAACTGTATGGCAAAACCAACCTTAAGTAACTGTGTATGTGACAATCCATCCACCCCTGCAAAGTATGGCTCATGTTTGTACTTGCTTTGTTTCACACACGGTTAGTCCCACATTTTACATGCTCTGGAGCTTTCTGCACCTAGTACAAAGTAAGGGACCCAATCAGTTGCTCTTCTTCAGAGATCTCTTTACCTTCTGGTTTCCAGGGTGGGAAACTGGTTTCCTAAGGTAAGTAACTTCACTACTTCCTGGGCAGGGGAGCATTATGGGGGCTATAGGAGTTCCCTGTTGTCCCTGTTGTGGGATACTTGGCGGCGGGGGGAGCGAACTGCCAGTACTTTGTTCCTCTTGGCAAGGAAATCTGAAGTCACTGTCCCAGGTTCCTCCCTGGAGTTGCCAGTTTCTTGGAGGTGTTACTCCTGGCTTTGCCTGGCCCCTGCCCCAGTGGCTCAGAGGGCTATGTGCAGCTCAGGGAAAATCTTACCCTGCAGGACTCTGAGGCAGATGCTCAATCCTGTGGTCCCCAGTCGGCTGGGGCCCAGCGGACTTAGGCAGCCTTGCTGCAGGGTGACCCCTCTAGGTGTGTCTGGAGGTGTGCTGGGGGAGCTAGCTCCAGCACTCAGGGAAGGAAAGCTGCAGTCACCGGTAGAGGCCTGGACTTGGAGCACAATGAGGCTCTCCCCACCCCAGGGCTGCGCCCAGGGTGAACAGCACCTCCACCTGGGGAGACGCTGTCTCAGAGGCACTCTGGGAAGTCTCCCTGTCATTTGGCCTTCTCTAGGCAAGATCTTTGTGGTTAGTGTCCTTCAGGATGCTGACCACAGAGACGCTACCTTGAGTGTAGCTCTCCAAACACACTGGTGTCCACACATGCAGAACTATGGCTAGAGTGTCACTGGGCACGTCTCTAGTCCTCTCTCCTTGGCCACAAGGGCCTGTGAGTAGCAGCCAAACAGCAGCAGCCAGAACCCCCCTCCCATTAGCCTGGGGCAGCCTCCTTAGCTGGGCACCCGAAGTGTTCTCCAGCTGGTAGCAGCCAGATTCCCCAGCTCAGGTTCAGTAGCAGGGGCTGGAAGTAGGGTTGCAAACCCTCTGGGATTGTCCTGGAGTCTCCAGCAATTAAAGATGAGTCTTTAATTAAAGATTATGTCATTTGATGAAACCTCCAGGCATATGTCCAACCAAAATTGGAACTCTAGCTGGAAGACCAATTAGAACCTTCCATCTAGTCCAGGACAAGGAGTAACCAGACTTACCTGGCCACCAACCAGGGGTTTGCCAGAAGCAGTCAGGAGCACAACAATTCCTCTATTCCAGCAGCTCACTCCATGCGACGACCTTATTAGCCTTACACCAGGATATTTACTGCGAATTATTTAAATAATGGGTTGCATATTCATTAATATGCAACTAAGGGTTTGTATATTTGCTTAAATTCTCCAGATTTCTGATCCGTCAGCCTTAATGTGTATGGAGAAATGGAGTGTCTGAAGGATTCCAGCCCTTCTACTTGGGGGAAAATGGTGCTATAGCGGAGAAAAAAATAGTGTTTTAGTGGAGATTTTTCAAAAGCTTGTCTTTCATCCTGTCCTGTGTACAGGACACACTGGAGATATTTTGTGCTACTTGTCTCAGATCTGAATACTGTAAATTAGCTGATCACATCCTAAAGTGAGAGATCACATCCTAAATGTAATGTATTGTGTCTTCGTTCATGGAATAATCTGTTTAGACTGCCTGTGGACTCATGGAACAATCATGGTCAAATTAGCAGTTTATCTGCTCCTTGCCCTGAGCCTTGATTATCTGTTTATGCAGTGTAATTTATCATTCTGTAAACCATAGCTGGCCAAGCTTGTATACCCCTATGCTCAACTTGATTGTTGAACTATGATTGTTTGGGCATTTGGATGTGATGGGATGGGATAACATTTGAACACTGCATCTGATCAATTCCAAAATTTTAGCAAATGTTCTATGTATCAATGGGCAGAACCCTATTGATTTGGGGGAAAATTGGAAAACTGGAAGGAAGAAATGGGGACACACAGAGTCCTGATAGCTGGTTAGCAGACTTGTCCCCTTCAACCACCCCTGTAATTGTCTATAGAGCAAAGAACCTGTTGATGGCAGCCACTAACATATATCTCCCCATCTCAGTTTAAAATTTTGACACCCTGAATGACTTAGCTCCCAGACAGGTAAATAAATAAATAAGGATGGTTGAGGGGCAAGGGAGAAAAGGAGCACACACAGAATCCTGGTGGAGAAGAGAATGGGGGACCTTTATACGGGAGGAAGGGAGGCACATGGAGCCCTTGAAATGGGGAAGAAGAGGGTACAGTGGTAGAGGGGGAGGGAGCTGTTGGGGACACTCAGAGCCCCTGTATGTGACAAATAGGGCATGCAAGGGCAGACTAAGCCCTCTAGCCACTAGCTTGCATTCCCAAACTAGAAAAAAAAGTATTTATACCATAATAGTAAAATATAATGTTGTAGTGTCAACCTGAAAAGCATCCACTTTTTCCTTCAGCAATTTGATAATGTTAATTCAGGATTTGCATGTTGTCTATAGAAAACTTAGGGAACACACTGCAGATACTGAAGTAATGGTATTGAGTTATGTAGAGCAATTGACAAACATTTTAAGAGTGACCACTGTCGCACCATATCATACATATGTGCTATAATTAGGTAGGTTCTATTGACGATGAAATTTATTACTAGCAATACATATATGAGTAAATTATCATATCTTAGGTATGTAGACCCATATCAGATAATGTCTTGCAGTTGATTTGACCAGCATTGATAACCGGAGCACAGAGAAGGAGATGGAAAGTCAGAAAAGGGCAAGGTCACTTGCCACCTTGTTCTGGGAGAAGGTCAAAGATTTTGATGATTTCTTATGGAAAGCTAATGAAGGAGACTGTGTGACAACTGTTTACAGTGAACAAAGGTAAAATAATAATGTTATTTATAAAAAGAACGTGATATGCTTGATCTGAAACAGTTTCTGAAATTGAGCTACTCCCGTTTTTCTCTCTCTTTGCTTTTGAACAGTTCCCTTTTCACTCCAGAAGAGGTGATTAACATGCATTCCCATTCAACTGATCAGTTACCAGGTGGCTTAAAGCAGTTTACTGTATTATTCAGGTAATCTTATTTTGAAAAGAAACTGATGTCTTGCAGGAATAACATTTAAAAGTGCAAAGGAAATGAATGTTAAGAGAGAAGCATGAAGGGCAAGCTGAACATAGGCTGAAAGTCTGGAGAAAGCTGGTCATGGGTTTGTGTCACACTGGAATGTAGCAGTTGTTATATCAGATCTGACCATACGTCCATCCCATATCCTGCCACTCTTACTTCATTCTTCAGAGAAAGGCAGCCACACCTTTCCTTGATAAATCTAGCCAACTGCACCATGCTCCCCCAAGCAAGGGGATTCAAGAAATTTCATCAACTCATTTTGACTAAGACATCATGAGGCATGAGATTTGTTTATCCTTATTTTAGCATGATTGTTACTGGTGGTGGCTGCTGTAGTTGGCTGTGACATTCACTAGTACTTTCACAATTACTCAAAAAATTTTAATTAATTGGCTTAATGTGTCTGGAGTACCACTACTATCTGTTGGGTCAGTGGTGGGCAAACTTTTTGGCCCAAGGGCCACATTGGGGAATAGAAACTGTATGGCGGGCCATGAATGCTCACAAAATTGGGGTTGGGGGTGGGGCTGGGGATGAGGCGTTTGGGGTGTAGGAGGGTGCTTTGGGCTGGGACTGAGTGGTTTGGAGGGTGGGAGGGGGATCAGGGCTGGGGCAGGGGCACAGGTTCTGGATGGGGTGCAGGCTCTGGGGTGGGGCTGGGGATGAGAGGTTTGGGATGCAGGAGGCTGCTGGGATCAAGGGGTTTGGAGAGCAGGAGGGGGATCAGGGCTGGGGCAGGGAGTTGGGGCTTGGGAAGCTTAGGGGGTGCAGGTTCTGAGCTGCACTTACCTCAAGCGGCTCCTGGAAGCAGTGGCATGTCCCTTCTCCAGCTCCTATGCGGAGGTGCTGCCAGGCGGGTCTGCACTTTGCCCCATCTGCAGGCACTGCCCCTGCAGCTCCCATTGGAACGCGTAGAAGCTGGAGCGAGGCCATGCTGCAGCTTCCGGGAGCCTCGTTTTTACAGCCCCTGACCCTCGGCTGGAGCGGGGCCAAGCTGCGTGGTGTGGCTCACGGGGCGGATTCAGCCTGAGGGCCATAGTTTGCCCACCTCTGTGCTGGATCATGCCAGAATTATTTAACGGTGTTTCATTTATCTGTAAACAGGGATTCTGCTTTAGCTCACACGATTGGATCTATATTTTGGAGCTGGAGGATCTGATTTCTATCCCCACTTCTACCATGAATTTCCCAATGACCATGCTATCTAGAATGATGAAACATGAAGTGCTAGCTGGCCAGAGATTTGTTACAATAGTTTTGATTTGTACTATACATGTTCCTGTCTAAAAGGCCAAATTCTCGTCCCATCTGAAGTCAATGTGGTTCCATATGTGTCAATGATAAGAGAATCAGGCCAAATTATTTAAATGTAGTTTAACTGGCATTATTAGCTATTATAGTGTCTTACAGTCAGTGTTGTTGTTTTTCTTAGTCGTCAAATCTCCAGTGACTTCAGAGATCTTTCAACGTTATTAATCCATGGATCTGAGGCCCTTCTAATGTCATTATTAATTGGATTCTTATACTATGGTCATGAGAAAACCAAGCTATCTATTCAGGACACAGTAGCACTGTTGTTTATGATAGGTGCACTAATCCCCTTCACAGTGCTTTTGGATGTTATTGCAAAATGTAAGTGTCTGTCAGTTTTAGTGATAATGCTTTAAGACAATCAAACAAAATAATACTTAAATTGCTAATGAAAAATGTATTGACTATGGGCAGTTCTAGCATGAAATATACCTGTCTGTTTCTGTTTTATACTGTAGGTCATTCAGAAAGAGCTATGCTTTATCATGATTTAGAAGATGGGATGTATACTGTTACTCCCTACTTCTTTGCTAAGGTAATTGGTTTCAGCTGTCAAGAAAAGTGTATATCTGGTTTTAACATGAAAAGTAAAAGCCTTGTGTGTGGGTGATGAAATTTTGTTCAGACTTCACACTTATCATGCCTGTCATCTAAAGCAGTCATCATGCTTCCCAAACATTTATTAACTAATTAATTAAGCCTCACAATGCTCTTAAAGCATCTGTCTCCATAAACCATGAGCCTGGTCCTAAGTCAGAAAGTAGTCAAGGTCCAAGAGGATTCTTTCACTGGCTACTCTTAGACTGCTGGGACAAGGGGATTTGTAAGTCTCACTGGGTGGGATAGGGCAGGAGATGGAAAAGCCTTTGGTCAGATCAAACTAGGGGAGTTATTCTCTGTTGTCTAACCAATGAGCTGTCAGACTGCAGGGGCTGTCACACTTGCCCCCTTTAAGGAAAATGAGCCCTTTTGTGTTGTTGGAGGTGCAGGTGTAATCTTCCACCATTCACTGGCCAGTCCCACAAGTAGACAAATGGTAAAAGTGGATCTTTGACTAAAGAGGGCTGTGGCTTATCATTGCCCTCTGTGCTAATGGGTGAGAGAACAAGGTCAGCATTACCATTTAGGCAATCAAGGTAGAGATGTTTGTTTTCAATGGGCAATAGTTGTTTCATAGGAAACAGACATCATTGAAGGGCAAGCACCATCACTTTCACTTCGGGTTGTCCCTGGTTGAGGTGGTGGGGCAAAGTCCAGTGACTCAAGTGTATAATTTAGAGAGCGTGGCTAGAAATCAGACTGGATGATTGCTTTCACAATGCGTCTTTGACTTGGTGTTCAGCAAGGGATACATTTTTAAAGGGGTGTCACCGTGGCATAAATTTGTGGTTGCAATTATTTGTGACCCAGTTTTGCTGTTAGTCATGTCTGAACACAAATGGCATTTATATGATTTCCAGATGCTGGACAGCGGAAGTGTTTTATTATTTGTTCCCTCAAGAGCTTCTATCCATAGTTTTGGCTCCCAAAGTGGTTTTTAAAAAAAATTGTCTCTAAAATAACAAGCCTGGAGCTGGTTCTGAAGCACAACTTGGTGCCAACTTTGGGAATACTGAAAAGGAAATGTGTTGTTTTGGATAGTTTTACATACCTTTTTTTCTGCATACCTCATTGTTGAAGTGCTGTTGTGAGTTTAGTAACATGAAGAGACGCGTGTTACAGAAGAATCTTTGTAAATGCTGCAGTCTGACGCAAAATAGCAATGCTAGGTTGTACATGCATCCATTAGACACCTTCTCATCACTTTGACTGAGAAGTATGTAGCATAAAAAAGTGACATAGAATGTGGCAATTTCATCTTTCACCTTTGAGGGCCAAATTTTGTTTGACCCAATAGTGATTGGAGAAAACCACCATATTAAATGTATGGAGCACAACTGTTTCCGAAAAAAACATTACAAAGATACTTTTTAAAATATGCTTTGTTATTGCCAGAGCTGAGGCTAACCCCTTCCTTTAGGAAAGCTCTGCTCGCCACAGCATCTGTAATTTAGGTTTCCATTCCCAAACAAGATTTAAAACCCCCATGAGTGGTTCTGGGGAAAAAAATATTCTTTGTAGTTCATAGACAACACAGTTTTCACAATGAAATTATATCAATTTTTTATGAATCGTAGCAGTAGAGGTATACTATTAAGTGACCTTCAAGTACACTCCTACTTAACTCCCATGGGTGAGTTACATATGCCTTTTATTACTTATGTATGAAAAATTTAATATTTTTGTTTTCCAATGGATTAACTCAGTGATTCTCAAACTGTGGGTCGGGAGCAGCAAAGTGGGTCGCCAGGGCTGGCTTAGACTTGCTGGGGCCCAGGCTTGAAGCTGAAGCCTGAGTGCCACCACCTGGGGCTGAAGGTGAAGCCCGTGGGAGTCGGGGCTCAGGTTCAGGCCCCCAGCCTGGGACTGAAGCCCTTGGGCTTTGGCTTTGCCCCCCCACCCCACCCCAGGGCAGGAGGACTCAGGTGGGCTCAGATTTCAGTCCCCCCTCCTGGGGTCATGTAGTAATTTTTGTTGTCAGAAAGGGGTCACGGTGCAATGAAGTTTGAGAACCCCTGGATTAACTAGTTTGCAAAACGTGCTGCCCCAACTGTAGGCAAAAACGAGGAAGAAGGGACAAATGATCTTCCTAGTGGATGATTTGAAGTGTACTCATCGTAAAGATTCAACAGAATTTGAACTAAAATACATTTGCAGAGACTCATTAGTGGCATTATTGCCATCAGGTTTATGAGCTTTTATGGGAAATGTCTTAGATTCCCAGAAACTGACAAACTGTAAGAAAACAAGGCATATAATCCTTAACAAGAAGCCTGTCAGTTTTAGGTTTTAGTTATAGAAAATGTCACAACTAGAAATAGAAGGAAAATTAGCTAGGATCCTCCTTTTTCTGTTTTTTTTAGTGTGTCACTGACGAAAGGTGATCACATTTTAATAGGTTATTTCCTGCAAAATATTAAAAAATACATATATTAATATGAGAAAGTTCAGTGGTTTTTTTCCTGTTAACAGATTTTGGGGGAGCTCCCAGAACACTGTGCTTTTGTAATAATTTATGGAGTTCCTATCTACTGGCTGACAAATCTCAATCCTGAACCAGAACATTTCCTCCTTAACTTCCTGGCAGTCTGGCTTGTGGTTTTCTGTGCCCGAGCAATGGCACTATGGATGGCAGCACTGCTCCCAACACTGCAGTTGTCAGCCTTCTTTGGCAATGTGCTTTTCACAACCTTCTTCCTGAGTGGTGGTTTCGTGGTAAGCCTAGAAAGCCTGTGGCTAGGTAAGACTGGCAAGTGCAGTCATAACTGACAACTACTTACAGCTTTTGTAAATCATAGGCAATGTTTTTGAGGCATTATGGCCTAGTGGATAGAATACTGGACAGGAACTCAGGTAACCTGGGTTCTAATCACAACTCTTCTGTTGTCTTATAGGGTGGTGTTGGATAATACAGTTTGTCACTATGGGCCTCAGTTTCCCTATCCATCTATAAAATGGGAATAATATCTACAATGTTTTGAGATCTATGGATAAAAAGCACTATTTAAGAATGTATTATATGTACTGTACATTATTTTTGTTCTTTTCTAGGGTTTGTAAATATATAACTAATTCAAAGATGAGTACAAAACCTGTCTCACTGAAAAATTCAAATTACACTCAAGGCTACATTATAAGTGTAATTCAGAAAGCCTTTAACACAGAATTTAGCACCGTCATGTAACAGATAGCAACAGAATATGAGTTGCTTTGCTACTGTAGTATTTGAAGTGTAAAGTTAAATATTTAAAGAAAAGAAATTTAGGCTAAAAACTTAAATGAAAAATAGTTTAAAAAAATCAACATTATTTTTACTGATAATGCTTATTTAGTTTTAGCTCGAGTTGTACAATGAATATAGATGTCTCAATTGTACTGGTTTCAGAGTAGCAGTTTATGGTCAGTTTTAGTCAATATCAGGTTCTCAAAGCACAAGGACAGAACTCCAATGTCTGAACGACATAATAAGCATTTGTTAGAGTGCAATTTAAATAAAGCTTTATTGGAATATTTTCAAAAATCACGGAGACCTTTCTATTAGTTTTACATTTTGTAAAGTCTTGTTTGTTTTTAAAACAAAACTTAAAATTTTAGTCAGATTTGACCTGAGTCTGTCCTCTTTTATATTTTATTACTGGAACAAAGTGGCTCTGTAAAATATATAAAATAAAAACAAACCAACAAATCAAAAAACCTTATAGCAGCTGGGGATGTGCAAAAAGCCTTCCAGAAGAGCTACAGTCCTTTTTTTGCCATCCTCAATTCTTCATCCAGTTTTGGGTATCACATTTCTATGCATATTTAATTTGTGTGGACAAACGAATCAAAGACTTAGCTGATATGAGGATGTTGATTCCTACAACCTACATAGACATGGCGTTAGATATAATAGGTTCATTTTGTGTGTTTATATTAAGACAGATTCCTCCCTTTCTTTCTCCACCCCTCCTACCGTCTTTTCCAGTTCCATTTTGGATTTCTAAAATATCTTTTGTCAGATGGAGTTATGAAAGCCTGATGCAAATTCAGTTCACTGAACTCACATACCAAATGACCGTTGGAAATGCTACCTTTCAAATCCCAGGGAAACTTGTAAGTCAGTCTCCCAGAGAGATTTTTATATTTGATAAATAATTTGAGGAATAGCTCCGAAGGCATTTGTTACTGTAGTTGACTAAATGATATATGCCTTGATTCTGCAAAGCCCTCTCAGGGCGGGCTTCTGCTCATTGACTCTGCTAAATTGGAGCCGCAGTGCACACCGTCTGACCTTGGGCATAAGCCTGAGCTGCATCACCACCATGGGTTGGCCGGATTATACGCCTGCTCCCTTTCCCTGCCAACTTGCTATCTGATCCCCTACAGAGGCAAAGTGGGAAATGAAGTGGTCAGAGTTTGACAGAGCCATATTAAATTAGTCCCATCCCAGCATACAGGAGGGAAGGAAAGAGACTGTTTCCCCCTCTACTAGGGAACCTTCAAAGCGTGCTTGAAGCAGTACGAAAGGATGGGTGCAAGAATAAGGTTGAGAGCCACTGGTGTAGCGATTGAATGTCTTGGCATTTCATTTTTGGAATGCCTGTTACTGTAGATGCTGAATGGAACGAGTCTGGTGGTCTCTCTTTGGTCCTCCAATGGATGTGTGTTCATATACTGAAGACACCAGATCATACAGCACAAATGGCAGCCTCTGCTTGAGGCAGGTCCATGCAGCGGCAGATTTGTGTCACAATATTTACATGGTGCCTTGCTATCTGGGGAGGGGGAAAATGAAATAGATTTTTAAAGAGCAAATAAAGCAATAATTCCCTTCACAAACCTCAGCTACACATTTGTTGGAAAACAACGTTTAGAAATAGAGCTGTGTTCCTCCTAATGATACACTTGTTGAGAGATGTGACAAAGCTGATCCTGCTGTAATTGAAAATAAGAACATAAAAGCCACCAGGGGCAAGGCAGGAAGAGGAGCAAAACTAAGGAGATGTGACACTTTGCACATACATTTTAAAGAGGTTTTTAATTACTATTTTGTGATGTTTGTGCTTACAGGTAATTCAGGCTATGAATCTGGACTCGTATCCTCTCTATGCAAGCTACCTCATCCTCGTCGGTATTATTAGTGGTTTCATGGTTTTATACTACTTATCTCTGAGGTTTATCAAGCAGAAATCAAATCAAAATTGGTAACAGGTAAAAATGAAGTAAAATATTAGCGCTAGTGGGTGGTAGGTTATTGTGACTCTTGTAAAACACCTGTCCACTCCCTCCCCACAAAAGGGATCTCACCTTTTATACTTCACAATGTCCATATGTTTTATTAATACCCTACAGCAAAGATATACCGTAAAAAATCATTCTTTTAATATCACATTGTTTTATGTAAACCACTGGATGGCAGCAGAATACAGATAGTTGAAAGCCAGCTTCAGAATCTTTGACTCTGTGCTGTAAGTGGTAAATAAAAAAAAAAAAAAACCTACTAAAAATTGTGCCTTCAACATTTTTTCCTTTTGACATCATCATTATATAGGTGACAAGATGCATGTCACTCAGATCTATGTTTTAGTTCAAGAATATGGGGCAGATCCTCAGCTGCTGTAAACCAGTGTAGCTCCCTTGACTTAAATGCACTTACACCAATTTACACCAACTGAGGACCTGGCCCATAGTTTCTGAATATTGATCATATACTTAATTTGGAGACTCAGAGTAACAGTATAATGAAAATAATGATCTACATTTTTCAACATCTCTCACCCACAAAGATCCCAGTATATACACTATATATAAATCACTTCACTCAGTGCAAGAGAGCAGAGAGAGAATGGTAACTTTGTAACAAAGCCATTTAGGACAGGAGATTAAGCGTATGATTTCATTGAAGCTACGGAAGCATTTTATGTAGGCAGAAGGTAATGATCCAAACCAGAGAGTTAGAATTCCAGTGTAAAGGAGTTAAAAATAACTCAGAACAATTGTTCAATGTTTCAGAGATTCTGCATTTGTATTTTATTTGCATGTTGTTGATGCAGTTTTGTGGACTGTATGGATGATTCCTTGTTACAACTCAACGTGTCACTATGTATTATACTGCCATTGTCTATAGTTGACAATATTAATAAACTGTCATTACAAAAAAACAAACCAACAATGATCATCCCCCCGCATGCAGTCAGTCAGTGTTTTAGCAGTTTACTAAGTCTGTATCCTCACATTCTTGGTGCTGAATACTCCCGGCCTGCTTTTTTTATTTATTTATTTTTTTAAACAGGTTGATGGTGCATTCAAAGAATGCCTGTAGTTGTGCATCTAGTTACACGCTTACATGTAACGCACGCAAGGTTATGCAATGACCATGACTGCTCACACAGATTAGACACAGTGTGTGCAAGTGGCTGCACTTAGCAGTTTCCACGTGAAATTATCTCTTTTCCCTGTGCAGTCATACTAAGTGCATGTATCAATTAGATTTTAACTTTGTTCAAAAAACAGGACATGATTTGGATGCATTCCTAAATATCTGTACGTTTATAAATCTCCTGTTCTCATTTCAATCATTGTAATACTTCAGTTCTTGGAAAACATACTTTAATTAGTTATAATGCAGTGGACATGATATAAATACACTTTTTTTTAAAAAAGGGAACATCTCAAAAAATAATTTAAAAAAGAAATACCAAACACTGTTTCATTAGTTCCGTTCAATGAATGGGGCTGTCACTGGGGGTTGCACTGTAATCAACTCCCGGACAAAGCCCAGCCTGATGAGGTAAAGTAGAACTGAATGAACCAGATTCACCATTAGACAGAAGTAGGAATTCAAAACATGTCGAGGTTCTTTTTTGGTGAGTTCTACCATTTTTTTTTTTAGTTTTCTTGTTAAAAAAAACAAATAGCCCTCTACTCCCCATTATTGCTTCTGCGGTTACCTTTGCTCTTGAAAAACATGACCAGAACTTACCCTAGTGCCATATTGAAAATGTCAGATTTCTACTGCTTTCTAATGGCAAAGCCAGTTCTTTCAGTCCTACTCAGCATCATTAAATTGTCAGTATGGCAGCTTCCTGTTTGATTCTTAATTATTCCTTTTTATTATATTTAAGACACTTAATTTTTTTAAAGTGGTTTACTCTTCTTGGTAATGATCTGTTGTGATTAGAATCTCTTTTATATTACATTGAAATTTTAAGGGTGTATATTGGTACTTCTATTCTAAACCTCTATTCCTAAGGTATTTAGAGGATTAAATTCTAGGCTGACTCTCTGTTGTGAATTCACTTTGATGTTTAATAAAAAAAGGAGAGAGACAATGGGAGAAATTAAAGACAATAAGGGACAGCTCTGAATTTTAGGGGCATATTGTCATGAACAAAAATCCTCAGGCATCTAGATAAGAATATACCCATAGCCTTAACTTTGAATTTCCTTCCTTTTGTGAAATTAGGCAGGCTGTTGACATTATTTAAACAGTCTTTTTCATTTTAAATTCCACCCTCTTAACAGTATGTATGGGGACCAAGCGGTGTGAGTGTTTTAGCGGTAGTGTTATGACAAGGGTAGATGTATACATAATGGGACTCGAATCGTGAGCCTAGGAACAGCTGCCTTATGGCATGTTGGGGGAGAGCGATCACAGGAGGTAGCCAGCATGTATGTTTACATTAAAAAGGCTCACATTCTATATACTACAATTACATATGATCAGATCTTGTTCCCCTCCAGAAATGGGACCTTAATGCCTGGAGATACTAAAAGGGGGAAATAGTCTGTGACCATTGTTATAGACCACAGGGCCCTCTCCCCCCGCCCCCCAAAAGTAGTCTTGAACTGGCAGCACTTAACTTTAATTGCTAGCGATCCCACACCCTGAATCTGTGCCCAGAAGAGAGGAAAGGACAGGAGGGGAAAAGGTGGGTGGATGACATACAGCTTGGCCTTACTGGCCCTGTGGAAATCAAAGTGGAAAGATCGTACAGCACTAGAATGAATTATTTTTCTTGTAGGTACCCTCTGTTGTGCTGTTACCCCATGAGCAGGGATCTGGTGGGGGCATAAAGCCTCTATTGCAGATACCCCACAGGGTTTGTGAGTGTCTCTTGTGGCCTGTACAGTGCGGGAAGAGGGGTGGGAAACATTCACTTCCCCCCTAACTTTAATGTGCAATTGGGAAACCTCCTGCAGATTCCATCTTTCACCACCATCCAGCAGGATTTATTATAGGATGGGTAATGGGACCCAGGGTGGCTTTCATTGCATGGGGTAGTGAATATATGGGTAGCTACACTGTAGCTTGTATCCTGTTCTATAAGGCATTAAACTCACTGTACATTAACTGAGGGAATAACTTTCTAAAAAAGCTGAATTACATTTGGCTTAGGTAGATCAAGGGCAACATCCATGCAATGGATTTCAAATCTGATAAGTCTGTTCTTCCTCTATGCACAGAATTCCCTATCTGGCCCTCCTCATAGTATTCAGGTACCTCCTAATTTAATTACAAGAATGATCAACAAGCAAAACTTCCACTTGTCATTTCAGAGGAACAGCCGTGTTAAGTCTGTATTCGCAAAAAGAAAAGGAGTACTTGTGGCACCTTAGAGACTAACCAATTTATTTGAGCATGAGCTTTCTACTGGAAACTGCAGCAGACTTTATATACACACAGAGAATATGAAACAATACCTCCTCCCACCCCACTGTCCTGCTGGTAATAGCTTATCTATTATCTACTGATGTCATTGGGAGTTATACACATACATGTGCAGAGTACAATATCAGAGTCAAGATCCAGCCTGTGAATCTGGGAGCAGATTATGCTCAAGCTACATTTCTATATGCAGGACTGTCTACTATGAAATCTCCCACTGCATCAACTAACTGTCCAGGATAAGCAGAGAATGTGCATCTAATTATTTGAGCCCTTTATTGTCTTTAACGTCCTTTGCCATTTAACTCTAGCTGTACACAAGTGGACAGGTTTCACATGTCATGGTGGTGCTGGAGAAAGATGGAAAAATGTCTTGCGATGTCATAAAAAAGCAATATAGTGCATTCTGAAAAATGCATGTGACAGACCTAATTTAATTCTCAGCCCCCACCCCACAATTTTAGTAACTTAGAAAAACTTCATGTAACACAAGTGATGTATATTATATGTAGTGTAAGGGCTGTGATCCAATTTGTAATACACTATGTATGACTACAATGGCTCTTCTTAATCCATTCATGGCTTTGAAACTTGTGAAGCCAGCTTTTACTTTAGCACCTACAGATTGGACATTGCTATTATTCCAAAACTCTTTCCAGGGATTTGCCTGCTTATCTTCCCCCCACCCTCCAATCTGTTCTTTCACAACACTCATAACTGTGGTACCAGAGCACCATTTATTAATTTATATTTCCTGATTAAAGCACCCACTTGTTAAATGCAGGCTTTGAATATCTCCATATCACTGACAGTGTCTGAAATGACATAACATGTAAAGTGGCTCCCAGTGAGACATTTTGCAGACACTGGAATTGGCCAGTGGACGAGCTAATTGCAAACTGCTTTCATGTTTCAATTTAGACCACACTGTATCAGACACAACAACTCAGGGTGTGAGAGTTTCAAGAAGCATGGCACAAAATACATGGAGCACCAATAACTGACTATAAACAAAATAGATATCAAAGCCTAGAAGCAAGGAAGCTTTGTTAATTAAAAGGACACTTAAAATATCTTGTATGAAATTTTCCTGTGTTGTTACAAGCACCATCTAAGATCAGTATCACTGAAAGAAATTTTATTTTTTGTTTACTTCGTGTATTTGACAGAATTTGTGTAGCAGTTTTCCCTGTTTTTGTGGATCTTTCACATAGCAACTGGGGAAGGCAAACATTTTTTTAAAAATAGAGAAGTGTGATTTTCAGCAATTTTGAGACTTGGGGCAGAGACAGTCCTTCAAACTACTTTTAACTCATTTGATTTCAAGTTGACAGTCGCTTTAATAAAGGTCTATAATAAATGCCACACCATATTTATGCACTGTGAAAAATGCTTAAGTATTAATGGTGCTAACTCAGTCAATTTAAAAAAAAAAAAAGCCATCAATTTCTCAGTTTATTAAGAAGCTTAAATAGTTTCTTGCAGATGGCAGCCTTTATGCAGTGCACTATAGAAAGAAAATTAAAGGTGCTCATTGGGCCACGTGTAGTGGAGATGACAAACCTTTCAGGCTTCAGCCATAGTGATTCCTTTAGACTGCAGTAGACCAGAAACAATAAAACACATGCAGCTGTGACATGCTGTATTTTTGTTTTTTACCTGAAAGCCAAAGATAAACAGTTCATACAGCATTAGTAGCTATTCATTAAGGCAATAACCTTTAAGCAATCGGTTGAGGTTTGGGTTTTTTTTTTAATCCCTTTCAAGGCCTAACTAGCTTTAAAAAAGTCTATCTTTCTTGCATGAACATAAATTTCTATTATATCTTAATAGTTTAATTTGTGTGTGATTATTTCAAATTGCAGTTTGGCTCCCTATTTAATAATATAGCCTTAAATGTAGTTGCCTACAAAGCAAAGCTCTTCATCTGTGTGGATTTCACCAATAAATACAACTCTTACATATTTACTTTGGGCTGCAGCTCAGCTTGAAGTTATTTGACTTGCATGTTCACAGCACATTTCAGATTTCTGTTCCTCCTTCTGACAAAATACTGAACTTTAACAGATTTTACAAAAAATGTATCTATGTATATGCATATAAGATTTCCCCAGCACACACATACTCTTATGCACCTTTAGCTGCTTTTATCTCATCTCACCAAAGCCATTCCTACCATCGTGATTTGCACCTTGAATATTTGCTTGAATAAGAGTTAATTCACTTCAGCATCCTTTGTGCCTCATTTGTGCTTTCACTTTCCACAGATTTTCTTGTGAATGAGTTTACTGGCAGGAATGTTCAGGGAATCAACAGAAGAATAGAAATCTGATTCTAAGGGTTATACTCGTCCAATGAGGAAACAGAAACAATGCCACATGACCAAGAGAGCTCAAACGTTATGCAGAGAAGACTCTCAATGACTTGCTTATGAACAATCCACAGATGAAGACTTAATCATTGAAGTTATTAGGTGAAAATAAATGCATGAAAATTGTAAAACCATGGCAATTCACAAATAAATACAGGCTAAACTAACTGAACAAATTATCTACTATGAATTATTTGCTATGCTCTTTTCTAATGTCTGTGCTAGCATTATCTGATAAGATAGTTGCTACCTCGGCTGGCCCAATGCCTGACAGCAATATCCAGTATGCTCATTACATGGCAGCCACTTTAGGGCTTGGTCTGTAGCATTCCTCAAGTCACTACTTTTGTTCTCCACGATACTGTGTTTGGGGGGGGAGGGGGGGAGGGAATGTTTTCTAAGCTATTTATAGTTTGATCTAAAATCAATAGTATTCCATGCTTCATCTGGGGGAGAGTCCTGAAGCAAAAATATATAACCTTTGTGTGACCAGTTCAGCCTCAGCATGGACTATATAAACAAGAGAGCAGTGAGTAGGAGTTGGGACCTGATTTTACCTCTATACAAAGCACTGGTAAGACTGATGCTGGAATACTGCATCCCATTCTCGTGTCCACAAGTCTATGGTATACTAGAGGAGAGGCAAGAGGATGTCGCGTGTTCTAGTCTAAAGTTGGATCTTCCAGCTAGAAATGCAAGCCATGGTGCCAAAACCAATGACCTAGAGAAAGTGAGAGCCATTAAAACCATAATCACTTAAGGTTTCCTTTTTGTAGCTTAAAATGATCACTTTTAGTAATATACTGTACTCTGAAAAATAAGCAGCCATTTCATTAATGGTGTTATCAGCTAGTCCATAGAAATATATAAAATTTAAGCAGCTGTTTGGAAGGCCTTCTAAAGCCCAATAGCATGACAACCAGGCTAGAGACAGAGAACAGGCAGTACATAAACAAACTTTGAAACACATGGCATTTGCTGTTCTAATTAAGAGCCATATGATTGCTCGTCTGTTATACAAGACAATAATCAGATTCAGGAGAGGATAATTCATGAGGTCAAAAGCATGGCAGTCATCACCACAAGGGAATCAGATCATTGCTGAGAAAAGAAAAGAGCTAATTATATTGTTTCTCTTATAATTATGTTTAATATAATAAATAATCAAATAAAAAAGTAATAAAAATACACTTCTTAAATTCCTAACTGTACCAGCCCAAGTCGAGGCCTCCGACTGAGCTCTGCGGGGGAATTTGAGGCCACTTGGAATGATTAAGAAAGCCAACATTTCACACCATTTGTTTTATTCTGAGCAAAATGACAGTGGCCTTTTGAATCACAGAATATTATAACCATTCCCCTGCCTCCAGAATGAACAAAGCGTCCCCTTCTTGTAATCATTTGCTGTGGCTAAGTATTTGGCTAAGTATTATCTTTATTGAGAAAAGCACATTTCTGATTAAAGTAGGTCTCAATACTGTCAAACGTTTTGGATGTACATGGCTTAGACTTTTCCTTTTAAAAAACAGAATAAAATGAAAGGATATGAATATTTAGCTTTGTGCATTTCATAGGGAATTCATCAATGCTTCCATATTGTAAGGGTACATTATTGCTGCTTTGTAATATGTTCAGTGCCAGAAGCATGATACATTACCACTGAAAACATTAATGTGCATGACTAACAATAGTAAAGCTATAAATTACCATCATTTTTATGCCCCCTGCTGCTAGCAGTACAACACAGTTTTTCAACCTTGTTTTCATTTGCTGAGTGTAGACAAATTTATCATGTTATTGGTGTCTGCTAGAAAGACATACAAATGCAGACATCGTATTTCCAGGCATGAGATACTGTGCTCCCTGAAGTATTTATAATATAGACACAAAGACTATGATTGTCATTAAAAAAATATAGAGAAAGGAACAACTACAGTTAATTTTTATGTTTCTAATGTCTTAATGTATATTTGACTATTAAACCAAAGCTGTTAATTGTTTGACAACGGAATGTAACAATCAAGTGTAACATGAAATATTGCTAGTGATCTTGCTATGAACATCATAATATTTGCAGTATTGACTAGGTCAATAAAATCACAAAGGAAATAAAAAACCTCGCGTAAGTAAAGCTTGCAGATGTACAGCTCATAAGGGAGTGCAGCGCAGTGAGCAGACATTTCTAATCATATTGTGAGTTTTTACTGTATCCATTATGCTATGTTAAAAAAAATGCTATTTTTAAAAAACTGATAATGACTTTAGATAGCTGAAGATTTAAAATTAAGCTAACCTCAGTATTTGAGGTATTCAAGGTATTTTCCATAGTACACATTGGGAATCACAAGGCAATACCACAGATACGAAGGGTAATCCTATTTATTTTAGGCTAAATTGGCTAGTTTTTCAGAGTATGTGCTTTCTCAATAATATATCTGGAAACAAATTATTTTTATCTCTACAACTTGAAAAAGAAAGTTAAATGTCAGCAATTCCCTACATAAATCATGCAACAGCACAGCTAAAGGGTGTTCCAAGGTCAGCTGCTGACCTTAAAACTAATCTGAGTTATGTTTCTTGTACCTTATTATTATAGCTGCTTTGTAACATTTGCAATGCCAAAAGCATGATAAACAGCTATAAGAAGGTATTTTATTAGAGTTGTTCTAAAATCTGAGAGGCTGAGCCTGGAACAGATTTCCTGTGTGACCTTAGGAAAGTCACTTAATCTCCGTCCCGCAGTTACCCATCTGTAAAACAGTACAATACTATTAATAATAATACTGTCCTCATTCATAGGCTCTTTGGAAGATATATATATTAACGATTGAGAATTGCTCAGTTACTACAGTAATAAGGCCTACATAAGTACCACTGAATTAACAGTTGTACCTAACAGTACTAACCAAGGTGGAGCCCTATTGTACTAAGTGCTGTATAGATACATTCACTCTTAACTGCTTTTGATACTTACAGCAAACACTGGAGGAAACCAAGCTTCAATTCTTAATTATCTTACTTCCATACTTTAATGGAGAAACTCAGCACCTTCTCTTACTGTATATGAGACCAAAGTGTGAAGTTCTTGAAGTCAGATACCATCCCATTATCTCAATGGGGTCACTAAGATAGGGTGCATTGTGGTTTTTGACATAAAAAACTATTGACAGGCTAAGCAGAAGCTTAAGGCATCCTGAAGAGGTCACTTTGTAATGGAGTTTGGACACTAGTTTGGATTCCTGGTGGTTGGTTTGCAGGGGGTTGGAATAGAAGCCCCTGCATGAAAGATGAATTCAGAGAAACCCCTTCTCTTCCTTCCTCTCACAAGGCCCATCATCCAACAGGCTTAAAAACTAACCACACTGAGTATGTGGTTTAGAGCATGGAAGGTCACTGTCAGTCATCTCCTCTACTCAGACAGCAATTTTTCTACCAGACATCTCAATTCCAGTCAAGGTATAATATTATGCATATTGATACATGTACTCACAATTTGCTTTGTACAGTAACAATGTCAGATCTTTTCAAATCAGTCTTTTATCAGTCTTCCATGAAGCTGCTGCAGAAGAGATCTATGGACACCTACGGTATATTGTATTTGTACTAAAATCTTGCAGAATTCTAGTGACCCAGTTGCCTCAGGCAAGTAATATTCTTTTCTATTTTGAATGGGTAAGTAAAATGTTATGGTCAGTGTGACAGAGTAAGTTTTATGTCTGGACTGGTAAATTAACCTGACAAGTTTCCAAGGCTGCTGTTCTGTATTTCATCATCTTGTAGGTATTTCATTTTGAATATACAAAACCTATGAAACTGCCCACATATTTGGCAAAGAAATTTAAATTTTCTAAATTGTATTTCTTTGTGCTTTAAATGGTTGTTTCTTAGGCATATATACGTAAAACCAACACAAAGATGAACTGCTTAGTAATTTCAAGCATACTGTAGGAAAGCTGAACCTTTCAAGCACAACACTGATTTGGATTGAGAAGATCACATTCCACAATGACATGAATGCTACAACACACCGGACAGAAAAACATCTAATTCCCAAGTAATAATTCCTTAATTGCATCCACTATGTTTACTTGGAAAGAAAACCAAAATTTCATAACAACAATCATTAGAGGCAGTGGGCCTGGGCCTGCCTGTTCTTAATTATCCCTCTTTTCAGGCCTCCAGGTTCTGCAATGGGCTACCTTGGCTCAAGAGGATCTAGAGGCCCCTGCCATCTCACCCTGACTGAGCAACACAGGTCTGACTCTACCTACCTGGTACTGATGCCACAAAAATCCTAGTACTGTTTCCTCCCCTCATGCTCCAGCTGTGGCTCTCTCTAGTGTTGAGCTGGCTCTCCACCAAAATGCAGCCACCAGTCATGGACTGATTGGGTCATACCAATCTGCAGCCACCCCAAATGCAGACAGTTTCAGAGCTAGAGGATCTCTCACTTTGAGTACATTAAACTATTTGCTTTGGTAACAGATGGCCCATCGTCTGGCCACCTCCAGTTGTGATCGTAAAACAAATAATGGTATGTTACAATGTACAGTGACCCAAGTGATGGTATCAAGTCACTGGAATGTTTGACCTATACATACAAATACAGAATTAGTACCAGTTAAATCTAAATCCTACCCAATGAGATGTTCTTTCTCCAAGTGTCAGCCCCCTGCTGAAAGAAAATTGGTTCAGTGGAACAGAGAACTAAGGGGACTCTTACCCTTCCATGAGACAATCTACCAGATCTATTGAGGGTCCAATTCCAGGCAGGATTTGGGACCTGTCAGCCAAGTGTGAGTTCCACTATCCCTATTTGCAGATGATCATCACTGCCACCTTCCCCATCAGCTCCAGCAGCTTGGTGTGAAGCAGCTTGCTCTGTGGGTGTGTTCAATTTGCTTCAAATGGTGGCCCAGACTTCAAAATGTACAGGCCTAACCCTCACTTATGCTATTTTGACTTCACTTGCTGGAACACAAGACTATGAAATTGAGAGAGATTTGTAAGATGACCTCTAAAATAAGAGCTGTGGCATTTCAGAAAGGGTTGCAAACTAGCAGACCGAGTCTTCAATTATGTTGATATTATACTGACATACATTTACTGTAGCTGTAGCTTTAGAAATGAGAAATGTCTCCATTTTAAAATGAGATAAACTAAATACTTAGTCTTGCTTGCAGATAGGCATTCAACCATTGAGCTGTGATTGAAATTTCAGCTATTAATTCAGTTATCTTGATGATACACAAGCACTGGCTGCCAGATACTTAGAACTAACTGGGTATGGTATATCAAACTGTATATTCTGTCTGTTTCCAACATTAGGCCC